AGGCATGACGACTATTGCTTAAAACATGCATGGTTCTACGTAATTTGTCTTGATCCTCTCTCTACCGGTGATTCACCCTTCGTCCTACGGAAACACATGGAATTTTCTCTCGTGGTTGAGTTATGATATTGAATGACTCAATACTAGCTAGTACCGGACGTTCGTACTATTTAGGAGCAATGCATACCATTCTTGAAACTTATTCTTAAGAACAATATATTATGTTGTGCATTTCCGGCTTAGATGGGTGAGGAGCTTATTGCTGAAAGTGATATTTTTGCCAAATGACAATGTGCCTGGGCTAAATTTACTTCAAAAGTAGTGTATTTTTACATAGGCTTTGTTTAAATTTAAAAATACTTTTTGTATAAGAATAACTTAGGGTTTTCTGAAAGTATATTGTCGCAGTAGTATATTATTGGAAATATCTTAAAGTAAATCGATTGTTTTGTTTCGTTTAGTTTTTTAACTGTAATATTGCCGACATAAAATGTTATCTAATGAAAACCTTTACCCTTAAGTTCCTATAATTATTTATTCCTAAATTATTAGTCAAGCACAAATTCGTTTAGTCAGAATTTACTAGGCTATTTCCAAAGTAATGGTTTAAGAATACTTTAGGTAGATGTTATAGCCTCATAATTACTATATTTTAATGATAAATTCAAATAACAATAACCAGCACGTACTCTGGCCGGATAAAAAAGAGTAAACTATAATACAAATTAAGACTGGTTTTAATTCAAGTAGTGTTACCAGTTACGAAGTAAATTATTTATGAAAAATATAATTGAATAATTTATGAAGAAAATAATAATAATAATACTTTTGAGTCTAGAATCAAAAAGGAGAATTATAAATCTTAAATTATCGTCGTTTTTTCTGTGCTGTAGGTTGAAATACATTAGAGGTAAGTAAACCTGCCTGCTCTACTTGCCTCGCGTAAACGCAGCTTTAGACTGTGTATTGATCACTCATGGGTTGATTTTTAAATTGTCGTTTGGACAGTACAAATTGGTGAATTTTTCTCATTTGTATTAGAACAATAACACAATATGCCTCATTGTTAATTGAGGAACAAACTATGAATTTATTACTAGGAAAGGTGAACGTACTACCTGTTGTAAATTGTAGTCGTAGGCATCTGGTACAAACTATTTGACCTATTGTTTGGTCCAAAACGTAAACAGTCAATACTTGGAAATGTAAAGGAATCATGAGTGAACAGCGTACATGAAGGTCCCGTTAATCCCCTACGTTACTCCGAATGGATTTAATTTGCAATTTCTTCAGATTTCCCTTTCACGACAGCCCATTCCAGTTTTTGGGGTGTCGGGTCACTCCGGTCAGTTCACCCGAGTAATTGACCTTCAATTTCAACTTAAATTTTGCTTTTATTTTACGTGGCAATCGCAAAAGAGAAATTCTTTAACACACATAAAACTAGGGTACCACTAATTTTGACTATTTTTCCGAAATCACAAAAGTGGTTTTAATTTATTTCACTTAGTTAGTCGTCGCTTTAGACTTTAGAGTATGAAATATTTTTATACTGTACAAGACAATCATAATACTAAACGTGTTATTTAGTTTTAACAAATTAAAAAAATTAAATCAATTAATTTATTTCCTATATTACAGAACACTGTATAGGCCTACAATTATAATATTTGTTGAAACATTAAAACTGGTCTTTATTCAAGTACTGTTACTAGTTGCAAAGTAAATTGATTTATAATAAAAAATACACTGATGATTCTAGAATCAAATAACAAATATTGTATCTGCCCGCTGTTCTTTAACAAAAATATTTTAAATTTGTTGTATTTTCAATTTGAAGCGGAAGTTGGTTGTAAAGTTTAGGACCCAAGTATTGATATAAATGACGAAAAGATTGTGTACCTATTTACTTTAGGTGATTTGATATATTATTTATTTTCAAAGCTTCTTGCACTGTAAGGATAATTAGGAATTACACTTTCTCTGTTTACGCTCTGGATAAAGATCTATCTCAAAACCTTACAAATAAAAATATGTTGGTCGAGTAAAATGCATAACTTCTGGTGGAATCGAAAAGAGATAGTTCGTTTAGATTTTTTCACATGTTTTCTACTTTTGCACGTTTTGAAATGATATTGGACAATTATCAATTATCAATCATTGAGATGGGGACGCCACCTGTGGTGGCATGTGGTTCAATATTCAACTGAAGGATCAGGTTTTATATTGCAATTTAAATTCGAAAGTGGCCTGGTAATTTGTTGATACAACATTAGTTTGGTAAGTTGCACTATAAAAATATTCTAGAATCAATGGTGTAGTCAATGAGGCGTGACTAATGGGATTTACTCACAGGGTCGACCCAAGCATTGTCTTGTTCAACCCTCGTAAGTAGGGGATTAGTTTCTTGCCCGGGTCGGACCAAGGAGCGCAAGCACCTCTGCGCTCCTTGGTCCTACCCCCGACTAATTCTTCATCCAAGGGGTTGACAGTTTTACGACTTGCGCTCCTCTGTCCGTTTCCCAGCATATTAACGAAGTAAAACGAACAGAAAATGCGTAGCTCTTGGATGACAAAATTTAACCAGAGATGATATTTATTTTCGAGTGCTAATCATAATCAATCGCAAAGCAACGGAAAACAAAACGTGTAAAGCTCTACACAAACATATGCATATGATTCTTCTTAAAGAACAAACTTTCTGATTATATATTATACTCCGCGCCAAAGCTGGTGGCGGCTGAGGGATTAGGACCGCCAGGGTCCTACCTTGCGGTCCTAATCCCTCAGCCGCCACCAGCTTTGGCGCGGAATACTGTCAGTTTTCTGTTTTACCTGAAATAAAGGACAAGGTAAAATGCGTATTACTGGATGAGAACAGTGGTTCCTAGGAATACCGGACAACTGCGGACACGGACAATTGGGGACACGTCTTAAAAGCGGACAATTGCGGACACTAGGGATTAATGCTACATGACAAGGGTTTGACAGGTCTTTACAAATATATCACTGCCGGACAACTGCGGACACATGTTCTGGAAAGAGTCTGATTTTAGACTGATTTTCATCACACTTACACAAATCATACATACATCATGTATGTATCTGTTCTTTAGGTGGAAATCAGACTCTTTCCAGAACATGTGTCCGCAGTTGTCCGGCAGTGAAATATTTGTAGAGACCTGTCAAACCCTTGTTAGGTAGCAATCCCTAGCGTCCGCAATTGTCCGCTTTTAAGACGTGTCCCCAATTGTCCGTGTCCGCAACTGTCCGGACACCGTTCCCAGCGGAGCTACGCAAGAATCTAATCCAAGGGAACGATTATAAAACACAATGATTGACAAGACTCACTACATATTGAATAACACATATTCAAGTTTGACATTACCATAATCATGGTTTTTATTTGTATATCTGTCGGTATATACACCATGGAGCAATTTGTTAGATGGTAAGGTAACAAACAAGCTTCTACCTGAAGTCGTAATACGATTGGTCGATTGGACGTATTTAAACAGTTTTTTTCTGATGGCAGGTGGCAATATTGTAAATTTTAAGGTAAACCACCCTGTGCACAGAATTTTGAATGATCATTAGAAATCACTTCAAGCAAACTATAAATTTTAGTAAAATATTTGTATCATTTAAGGGGTGTAAGTTATAAGCATGAATAATCTTGTCATGTCACCTTAACTTCACTAAAGCTCAATAGCTTTAATCATCTCTAATGCCTACTCTGTGACTTTCGTGTCGCCGCGATTCGCTGATTCGACGGAAAACAGCTGATCGTTGACAATTTGGCGGTAATCTGACAGCCAGCTGCTGGTTTTCGCGCAAAATCCATAATTCAACAGTTTCTGCACCTGACTTTGCCCGCTTCCCTGCTCTGAGGGCGCTAATGCGGATTTCATAGGATCGGGGAAACTATAGTGATCATAATTCTGGATATATTGCATTTTGTACATATTTGAAGCAAGATGAAGGGGGTAACGTTAAGTTTTCAAGTGAGTATAATAATATTACTTAGAGGAAATTTAACAAAAACAGTCAACAACCTAGTGGAGTAAGCTTCCAAAATGATGAATTAATTCCGGTTTAGCGTGTTTTTGCAAATTTTACTACTATATTACAATTGAACTGCACATAACCTGCAAAACTTGAGAGGATCTATAAAACATAATGAAGGTAAATTTTCGATCTTGCATATCTAAATAAACATGATTATGAATCAGTGTAATTACAAAATGTATTTTATTACAACAACGTTAAACTTCAGCACTTTATGAGAACATATCGTGCCTTGTTGCAGTAACAGCATTAAAACGCCCATATAAGAACCCCAAGGCCATATTAATTTAGGGTTTCTAGCAATGTATAATATTATTCTGTTATACAGTGAATGGTTCTATTCTATGCAATAAATTGTACTCTTGGCTTGAATGAAAATGTTAGTAATCTAATCGATGATTAACAATTTGAGTAGACAGCCTATCTACAAGAAACACAGAACCTTTTTTACAAAATAATTACCCCCTTATAGTTTCAAGATTCAAGATTTATTGAGCCTAAAATTAGCAATTTACAATTGGTCAAGTCACTAAAACTAACAAAAATAGAGTTGCATTTCCTCTTAAATCACAAGCTTAAGTCCAGAAAGCACACCATGCAAGAAAAACTTTAAAGTTTGAACTATTAACAAAGTTAAATGGTCTCTTGTAGTGTTTGTTACTACAACACTGGACGGGGACATAAAATATGCGGTTTTTTACAACAAAGATATCCTTTAGTTATACACTAGTTAAGTGATGGAATAAGATTGTATTTTACATGAACACACTCTATCGGTTGCTTATTTCTTAAATTTTGAAACTTTACACAAATTTGACTTGGGGTCTGAGATATCTACTACACAGCAGTGTATCCAACTCAATGGTTATAGTTATGTCCCAAACAATCATCTTGTATCTAATGATTTATCAAGAGCTGGTATGTAAACTTACCATGATCGCCAGTAGAAGAAGACGTACTTTTACCCCGTCGATTTCGCGGAGTTAGTTCACCACGGCCTGACATATCTGGACATGCACAATGTTAAATATAACTACGTGAACATTATAAACAGCGGTTGATAAATAATAGATAATAGATAAAATAATAGATGCGTGTAATAAATATACGTGTCTAATTATGTGTAATGATTTGATACAAAAGTCAACGCATTGATATTGTTGACACTTTTGGCCCCTCGTCAACTATACGATTTCGGTCGTACAACACTGTGTTGTACGATTTTTATCGTATGTGTGGTAATGGCCCAATTTACGACACTTTATCGGATAAATGACCAGTTGCTCGGTAGCTGTGAACGAGTGAGTGTGTGTTGCGCAATCTCTCAACAGTGGATCTGTGTTAAATAGTAAAACAATGAATCCGTTACGAGTTGTTGCAATGTGTCTGCTGTGGCGCAGAGGAATTAAGCGGAAGTACTGGATCCACCCAATTAATCAAAGTAGGGAACGAACACACAGGAACATTCCAAACTCTTGAAGTCCGGCGTGATGATAACAAGTTTTTCAACTACTTCAGAATGTCTGAAGTAGAATGTCCTTTATCCTCCGATTATTCAAAATCCTCTCTCAGAGCAGAGCAAACCAGTTTCCACGAGTCTTTCGTTGCATTTCTGTCCTTATAATCGGCTCAAGTTTTATCCCACAGAACTGGGCTTGCTTCCACTAATGAAATCACAAAACATGATTGTCAATTATCACTTAAGTTGCTGTTTTCGATCCACGCGCCAATTCATCTGATGCCATTGTCACTATCCACTTCGAAAAACAAACGCAGTATGCGAAGTGCACAGCGAGAAGGCGCAGCGAGAACCAGGGCCAGAGAGGTATATGTATATCTCTAGCCCTGAGCGAGAACTCAGACTACTGGGAAATACGCACGACATCCGAAAAAAATCGTAGTGTGGGTACGAGTACGACAGTCGGGCGACAGTCGTGGATCACAGTGGCAGTGGACGACTGCACCACGACAGTTTGTCGTAGTCGTGAGACTGTCGTACAGTGTGCGAGCGCTCATAAGATCCAATGGTTCACTATGGAATATGGTCGGTCCGACACCGTGTCGTACGACCGAAATCGTATAGTGGGCCTTTGGTATAATCGCAAAATACCAGTCTGCGATAAAATATGAAGCTCAATGGAGATATTAATTTTTGAATCGAATTTAGGTCTTCATTACCTATATCACCTTTATTATGGTTTTGAAAATCTTCCATTGTTGTTAAACATGAAGTTAGTTAAGTGAAATTAAAAAACTTCGTTATTGAGGTTACTAAACACATTGTAGCTTTAGACGTAACCCTCTAGCAGATAAAAAAAGATACTATGAACTGAACAAAAATACGTAACAAAAGTGTACGATACAACTAAATAGGAAAATATTATAAATTTCGCTTCCTTTGCCTGGCATTCAATCACCCACTCAAACAGAATATAGTTAACAATAGAGTGTGACAGGAAAAAAATACTTCAGGGGTTTACACTCAACCAACAATTAATTACTTGTGCACTGATAGGAAATTTATGAATACCGACGGTTTATACAATTGTTTAATTAATTTAGCTCTAAAAACAGCTCTCGAACGACGTAGCAAGATAAAAGCTTTAAAATAAAACGAATAAACATTAAGGAGTAAATTACACAAATATCATAACTGAAAAGGTTGTTTAAGCTAAACATATCCCTATTTGGGCTACACGTTTGATATTAGAAAATATTTATCAAGATATTTACCGACAGCTTTGCGAAGTTTATAATTCAATGATGGGGCGAGGAATAACGAAATGTAAACGTAAACCAATTAAAGGTGACCTGGCTTTAAGTAACTATTTAGAAGTACAGTACTTTACTTATAAAGTTGAACAAAGGAAATCGATCACACTTTGCATGCTTAAACTATTGTCTTCTCCTCAGTATGAAGACCTCAACGTAATATTATTTTGTTGTGTTCGTATTTTAATTATTACAAAGAATTAACTACATGTCTCTATACCTCTATCTCTTAAGTTAGTTTTAACTTTTACTTGTTGATTATACAGTTAAACCCAAGGAAAAGCAATATTTTACAAATAGATTAATATATTAATTAGTGAAAATAGATTGTAAGTTGGCAGAAGGAACAAATACTGTAGTAAACTGCAACACGCACTCTAAATATTCGGGATATCGACAAGTCTAAAAGTTGTCTTCAGCTGACCTCTGGAGTGATAAATGAATATACAAGTACAGTACTTTATAATTTTCGGCCACCCGAACATCTATAGTCTATACTTGGAATGTACGCATTGAAAACACTTCCCACTTCCCAGCAAATCCTTGCATACACACGTAAAATAAATAGACGCATCCCTGGCAAACCTAATAAAAAACACCTAACTAATAAAAAAATCACAAAAACGCCAATACATTTTGCAATAAAATGTCGTTTACAACATCCACACCGGGTGTACAAGGGGGTTGTGGGGGCGGTGCTGTCACGCTATTGGACGGCGACGCCACGACGTCGACCAATAGGACGTCGGGACGCTGGTGTGGACGTCGCGGGGGTGTGTGCCCGGACAGTCAGTAGGCCCATGGCAGTACCCGACCATCATCTACCCCTGTGGACCCAGGACCCGCCACCCACGGTGAGCAACTACCCTATCTTGTGTTCAATATCGTAGAATTTTAGATATAATTTTAAATAAATTATCTTTTCAGTGGTGAATGTGAAAAAAATTTGTTTTATCAGTATTTGCTGTAAAATTTTCATTCTTCTAGCCCAGGTAGAATCAGATGTAAAATGTCTTGTGCTTGACTTACTAAACGAAAATTTGTACATTTTCCACTATTATTACATATATGATTGATCTCCTGGACTAATCAGTAACTGTATTTAATATTTCCCATTATTTAATATTGTAATAACTTTCAGAAACTTTACTTGCCATTTGGAAATGATTACCAGCACAGGGGATTAGTGGTCAGCTATTTGAAGCTACATCAGAAAAGTTTAGATAGTAAAGGAAACATACCATCTACAGTATTTGTACCAGCTACAGTATCTTTTTTAACTCGCAGACACTGTGACGGGATGTAACATAAAAGATCCAGTTTAGCTTGCTTAAAAAATGTGAATTTGACAGAAGTCATAATGTACATTGGCGCGGCTCAATTTATCGATGGCTCTTTTAAACTACGTTTGCGTTTAGTTCAAATAAGCACAGGTCACGGGAAATGAAATAATCAGTCCTTTAAAATTATATCGCTATAGACAAAGTAATGCAAATATAAATACCCCCGCTGCAGCAAACCTGCCGACTCAGTGAATTTCCATTTGCCTGGATTGACTTTCAATTAATGTATTAAATTAACATGTTAAGCTCTTTAAAAAAGGTCCGGAGAAAAATTGATAAATTTTGTGTTTTAAGGGGGGAAATGAGAAAACCCCATTTTTACCCCATAAAACCCCTCGTTAAACCCCATTCCCATGGTCCGATCATGCTGGTTCGCGAACTCATTCAGGTTTATCCCGCATTAATACCTTCAAACCAAATTTTATCAAAATCGGACAAAAATTACTTAAGTTATCGTGCGGTTGGACACACACACACATATTCCCACTTAACACAAAATCATTTATAGATTTTTTTAAAGTAGTCTTATCGTATATAAAATTTGAACGAATGGTGTTTTTTGCCTCTGGGGACATCAAAATGAAAAAGTAAATCGGTCCCGGGCCTAGGTCTCACTATGAGACCTACGGTAATAACTACTTCCCTATAGGGAAATTCGCTAAAATAAAATGAGGGTTTAGTTTTCATGATTTCGTGGATGTAATTGTTTAGTTCTTGTAAGTTTTAACCTATAGGACTGTGCGAACTAGTATTTTAATTTTATTTTTGTGGTATATTTATGCATGCAGTATTGCACATTTATTTAGCTAATTTGCCGCATAATACTCCAGCAAATGTTTATACTAGCTTCACCTTTTCCTATTTTTGAGATTTTTATTTTTCCTTAAAGCAGTATTTCAGTATTTAATTCATTGTTTAACAATAAAAAATGCTTATAGTTGTATCTGTGCTTTGAACCATTAATGGGAATAAGAAGAAATAAAAAAAAATAGAAAAATACAAAGTCTTGCAAGAAAAGTTAAAAATGTATATTGTTACAATTGTCATAGATTAAAACCTAATCGATTCGTCTCAATTATGAATAGTTTAAAACCATTTAATAATAGGGAACAAACAAACAGTAATTTACAAACAGAGCGTTGTAATTGATCGCGACACGCGGGTTTTACAGCTTTGTAGAATAAAAAAAATAAAGAGAAGTTACCAACCAGCGACCACAACACACACTTTGAGCATGCTGTAATTTAGTTCTAACAGTAAACTTCTCTACTAAAAACCTGCGCTTTTCAAAATTAAAGAACATATTTTGCAAATTGAATGTCTACAAAATACTCTCCTAAAATGCGTCACATAAGATGTGGTTTAACTATCACATTAATTAATTAATTACAAGGTGAGTTGGGTAACATGAAAGCATTTTTAAAATTTTATTATTAAAGAGACGACACTAAGGGCCGCTTTCCCCAAATCAAGTTTAACTTAATCTCGGTTAACTTTAATCTGTGGGTTAAACTTAGGATGGCTTTCCCCACTATTTTGTCATGAAAGTTTAGTTTAACCTAGCTTTTCTTTGCAAGCAACAATGTTGGCAACACTGTTATGCAATTTTGTCTGTAATATTAGCTGTTTAGCTCCCCACTATGACATATCTGTCATTAATTTTCTCGTGTTTTGATTATTTGTATTAAGTTTCGTGTCATTGTCTCCAATTGTTGACATTAAAAAGAAACCTTTTTATTTGCAGGCTGATAAATTGTACTGATGCTAATTTATAACCATTTCATTTATTGTGTTTATTTAAGCTCAAACTTAATTAAACAGTAGACCTACTGTACGCATCAAATAAAAGCATTTACAATCATGGGAAAATAAAATGTTGGGAAAGACGCAAA